GGTGCTGTATGTGTGTGGGTGCTGTGTATGTCTGTGGGTGCTGTATGTATGTGGGTGCTGTATGTGTGTGGGTGCTGTGTATGTCTGTGGGTGCTGTGTATTTATGCGTGGTGCTGAATGTGTGTGGGTGCTGTGTATGTCTGTGGGTGCTGTGTATGTGTGTGGGTGCTGTATGTGTGTGTGTGGTTGCTGCATGTGTGTGGGTGCTGTATGTGTGTGGGTGCTGTGTATGTGTGTGGGTGCTGTATGTGTGTGGGTGCTGTGTATGTCTGTGGGTGCTGTATGTGTGTGGGTGCTGTATGTGTGTGGGTGCTGTGTATGTCTGTGGGTGCTGTATGTATGTGGGTGCTGTATTTATGTGGTTGCTGAATGTGTGTGGGTGCTGTGTATGTGTGTGGGTGCTGTGTATGTCCACAGCACCCACACACATACACAGCACCCACACACATTCACAGCACCCACACACATTCACAGCACCCACACACATACACAGCACCCACACACATTCAGCACCCACATAAATACAGCATTATTGCTGTGTATGTCTGTGGGTGCTGTATGTGTGTGGGTGCTGTGTATGTCTGTGGGTGTTGTATGTGTGTGTGCTGTATGTGGGTGGGTAATTGTGGGGGTGGAGGTGGGGGTACATTCATTGCTATCCCCCCTCCCTTCTTACCTTTTGTAGGGAGGGGGGATCGTGCTGCTGATTCCATCCCTGGTGGTCCAGTGGAGAGTGAACTCTAGCCCCCTGTGGGGCTAGAGTTCACTCTCGTGAGATTTGAGCGTTGCCGTGGCAACGCTCATATCTCGCGAGAGGAACCCGGCGGAGCTGCCGGCAATAGCTCCGCCAGGTCCTCTCCTGCCTCCCTCCCTGCATGTGGGTCGTTGGGGAGGGAGGCCGAGAGCAGAGCCGGCGCTCGGATAGCGCCGGCTCTGCATGAGCTGACAGGGGAGATCCTGAGATCTCCCCTGCCGGTCTCAATATGCATAGGCGTGCCGCGGGATTAGGGTGTGCCCAGGCACACCCGGCACACCCCGTGCGCACGCCTATGGCTGTAATGTAAACACTGCATTTTCTCTGAAAAGAAAGTGTTTGCAGCAAAAAGCCTGAAGGTAATGATTCTACTCACCAGAACAAATTCAATAAGATGACTATAGTGTCCCTTTAATTTAATTTAGCAAATGGGTTCTTGAGTGAGCACAACCCTCAGTTCAATGAATAAACTCTCTGTCTGCAGGTCATTCAATAAAGTGAGATTCGCATTGAATTTAAAGTGAAACCTTAAAATTTAAAGCCAATATAGTCTAAATGGACGATTTAAAAAGATATATATAAGCAGCAATGTTATAGGGAGGCGGAGGCGATCTAATGTAAGAAGGAAGGGTCTCAATGCAGGTGCGCTGCCTGCAAGGAAGAACATAACATCTGTCGACTAAATTTTTGTTCAGGATTTGCATAAGGCAACGTTTTTGGGCTGCTTTAGTCACATGTGCTGGGGATGTAACCCGCCCCTGTAACAACTGCAAGTATCTGTGTATGTGCAGTGTTTCAAGCAGAAACACTGAACATACACACTCCTACTACCACGACCACTTCAAAAAGCAGAAATAATTCTCACTTGAGTAAAAATAAAAACTTGTTTCCTACTTTTACAAAATTTCCATTTTTTTTTTTTATATCTGAAGAAGAAAAGAAAGAATGAAGAGAACAAAATGTTGCTTTCCCAGATTTTTTTGTTATAAATATTATCAACAATGGTGGAACTTGCTATGTTATCATGTCAACTTCTACCTTGGCACCACCTAGTGGTGTATGTTTCTAGACCTCCTTTCATATTTATGGGGTACCAATCCAGTCTTAAAAAGAAAAAGTTTGGGGAAAATCACATTTTTAGTTCTGGTAGCTAAAAAGCACAATTTGTAGAACAATTAAAAAAAAAGTCAAATCTTTCAGTGGTGCAGCATAGGCTATATATAAAAGTAGGGACTTGTGGGGAAATTAAAGAGAAGTTTTCATATTTCATGTCAATTTTGTTGAATTGTAAACAAAATACCTCCAACACAACTATTTTTCCAGGCTTTTAGGGTTCACATTTAAAGTTCTCCAGAAATTATTTTTTTAGTGAATAGCCTTGGAAGTGTTAATGTATGCTGCAGCACTGAAATAAAAAAAAAAAATAATAATAATAATAATAATAATTTTTAAAGGAACACTAGAGGTACTAGACTGGCAGCAACTAGAGTAAAGCTCTGCTATTTTAATGTTCACTGAGAGACTATGTGATTGGTGCAGAGTGGCGTATTGTCACTTTTTCGCCATAGCCTCCCAATGCTTTCCTATGGGAAAGTTTAGGAATAGCAGAGATCATTGATTTCGATGATCTCAACTAAGGAGATCGTTACGGCAAGAGCAAAACGGTAAATACCCTTTTTAACCCTGGCTATGCTGGCCCTGCCACCTAAATGGTGATAAGGGCACTATAGCGTTAGGAATACGTATTTGTATTCTGTGGCGTTATTATTGTCTTAACATGTAGTCTATATCATCCAAAGTGCTATCTCCTGCCTGATGCCTATCTTTTCCAAACACTGAATAAAACATAAAAACGTTACGTTGTTGAACAGCAAAGCATGTGTATTGTAGTTTCAGAGCTGTGTAATAACAATGTATCACGCTATTATTTATGGGATATTACAGAAATATATGGTAATTCTGTCACTGCTCTCTGCGGCTACAGCCCACCAAAGTAGTTAGGATAATTGCTCCAGATGCAGAGAACAAATGTTTTAACATCTCTGTCTTCTCTTCCCAGCCCCGCTCTCTCTCTCTTTCTCTCTCTCGTGCTCTCTCTTGACAGTGCCTGGAATAAATCAATGTTCTGTAATTTTCCAGCCATAAGTGCAATCTTTGTGGTGAACACAAGAACAGGTGATCAGCAAAATATCAGACAGTGCGAGTCTAAAGCAGGGAGGAGGAGAGGCAGAAAATGAGAAGCAATTATAGAGAAGCCCCTCCAGCGCATGCTGCTCTTGCTCAGCTCCACTTCACGTATCTACTTCAGGGAGGACCAAGAGGCTTCTCCAGCAGCAGGAGAGCAGAGAGGGCTACATTCTTATAGCACACAGCGTACTTTAGGTCATGTAGACAAAAAAGAGATGTATAGACAACAAAATGACAATACCAAACAGCCTCCTGTAAATGCACATATGCCAGCATTTACTTTCACTGTATTGTCCCCTTGCTGCGATGCTGGGTTGCTACATTGTATATCCCAGTTGTACATTCATATGTACCCCAGCTGTTCTTTCAGTTTAATGAGAAGCACTTATGATTTTGGTAATTTATTTGTTTACATATTCAGGGATTTATTCACTAAAACAACAAGTAACTGGGACGGGGGGAACGGGGGATGGGACAGAGGGGTAAAAACCCAGAGCTGGTGAAAATTCTCATGTAATACCTAATACACAAAGGCTTCACTCACCTGAACATGTATACATTATTATTATTATTATTGGCCTTTATGTAGTGCCAACTTATTACGCAGCACTTTACACTATTCTAAATGGGAGAATGTAACAAAATTCTCAATTAAGCAGTCTATTACATTTGGCAGGAACAATAGGTTGATGAGGTGCCTACTCGAACGAGCTTACAATCCAGACATACATTTTAAGGATGCTGTAGTTTTGCAGCACTTCCTGTCACTAGTGCTTTATTTGAAGCCCTATTTAAACCCTGAACTACAGAGAGCCCCTAGAGGATGGATGTGCCATGTAAGTAGATCATAGCAGTCATTACTTTAGGATTCAGTAGGACCTGCATAAAATGGGGTACATGACATTGTCACAGACATTTACAATACATGATCAAATTTTGTAACTACACTACCTTTATTTTACACACACTATTATATACTTTATAAGGATTACATACACTATTTTATTGCGTGTTCCAGCACACTCACTTATTCATTCACTAAACAGCAATTTTAAAGTTCATGTAGGATGTAATAGTTTTTTGTTGTTTTTGTTTTTCTGTTTTTTTTTTCAAAACACCTAATCTAAGCAAAATAATGGGGTTTTAATGTATGATCGTGCATTGCATAAGCCTGCCACAATGCCAATGTATGTCGTTTTGACAGGTCCTCTCCTATCAATGCCTGCTAGGCCTAATGCCTGCTCTTATGACATTAATCCTGGGACTCTCTGCAGTGCAAGGTTAAATATATATAAAATATAATATCTATTCTGCTACTCTAGGCAAAGTTTATATGTATTCTTGCAATGGTTTCCAACAACCTGAATAGCATTTCACTTTGTTAATGTTTACCCCTATATATGCAGCATGTGAATAATATTTAGCAAACCACATGAATGCAGAACATAATATTTTCATGTTAAAATAGAAATTGAAGCAAGGTTGTTAGTCAAAAAATACTACCTAGAGCAGGGGTTAACAACCTTCAGCACTCCAGATGTAGTGGAGTACATCTCCCCTGATGCTTTGCCAGTATTATGGTTGTACGAGCATTGTGAGAGACTTAGTCCCCAAACATCTGAAGTTCTGAAGGCTGTCTATCACTGACCTAGAGCACAGTAGGTGTTTCCATTTGAGGCTATCATTTAAACCCTTAGAGACCAAATACGTACTATGCATGCCGTGATATAAAGGAGTTTGTCTAATGGTGTCCCTAAGAGGTGTACTTGTCTTGTATTAGTATTTTACATAATTATATAACAAACATATTTTGGTGAACGTATAGATTTTATGAAAACGTAAAATGGAACATGCTCCCTCCCCTCTCAAGTAAATTAATTGTTGGCCTAAATCTGTTTGCTGACAGCTGACTGAAAGAGGTGAGCAGGAGAATCCTCCTACCAGCAGTTCTCCTGTTATCCATCACAGTAACTACTCTGTATTTGCTGTAGTTGTCATAATTGCCCCTCTATAAACACATCTCGCACTTTGCTGGAAGAGAATAGGAAGAGAGGGACAGGTTTATCAGAATCACAGGAACGGCTTGTTCAAATAAGGGAAGTGTTCATAAGCAGGACCAATAATGCCAGAGAGAGGTGGGAGGCAAACGGACCTAGGAGTAGGGTTTCGTGACAGCGATGACACTTTGGAGATGATGAAAGTATTCATAAAACAGTTCCTGAAGTAATTAACTATATTTTATGATCAATTAAATTTTTACTGATTTAGGAGTTCTTTTAGTCGAAAGTTAATCTATCATGAAACATTTCTACATGAGCAATTTAAGTGCTCCCTTCACCATTCCAAATTAGGTTGACTGTATTTGTTAATGACATTTAGTGTATAAGAACTTATAGAGCATTTCTGTGTTGGGTAGATGAATACTACTCTCAAAATTATACTGATTAGAGCCCTTAAATATGCATTTTTTATAAGTATTTTTTATTAAAAAAAACTATTTGGATACCCTATACCAAACAGTTTATTTGTGA